ATCCTGCTTTTCAAGTGCCAGGGATGCACCATGTTTTTTGACAGCGTACGGCACAGAGCAAAGGGGCTTGCTCTAATAGCCCAGGGACAGCCAGGGCTTCAATTCTGCCATCAAAGCTAGACCCATAGCTCTTTCACATTGTGTGGTGCTCAACCCCTCCTGCCTGGGATCAAGAATCTCTCATTCCTGCTGATGCCAACAACAATCCAGTTCACCTCTCTTACTGAACTGTGGCATGTGGCATTGCTATTCACTCTGTCAGGCTCTCAGGCATCCTCTCACCAAGCCGCTGCAGTGACAAAACCCATAAACAGCTCAGGGATGGTTAGGTTTCCCAGAACACTGCAGAAGATGCAGGATTTTCCAGGATGTGCCAAATCCACATGTGTTACAAGGACTGAGGTTAAATCAACAAATTAGTAGGCTCCTCTACCCCCTGGTGACCAGTACAAAGGGGCTTTTTCAGCACCAGGTTTCTCGCTGCTCATCATGAAAAACTCTTATAAAAACAGACAAAATATGTCATCCAGATAAAAATCCACATGTATGTTATAATAATCCTGATGTTTTGTGACCATTTTTTCAATAAACAATGATTATTGCTGATAGAATTGCTAATGCTAATACTCATTTCTGAAGTGCTTTCAGCAGCGTGGGTGATTCAATTTCTCCACAACAATAAGCGCAAAGGGAAAATTACGCATGAGCTTGAGCCTTGTATGAAAGGCTCGTGTTGGCATCCACAGGAATGTGTGCACCACACAGAATATTCCTCTCCAGGCGAGACAAATGAAATGAAATAATGAAAAGAGCAGGAGCTTGAAAACGTTCACTTACCCTTCTCCAAACTGAGATTCCTGCAAACTTCAAGTTCTGCCATTTAAGACCTGAACTGTTGGCCTCACACGATCCATCCATGCGCTTTAGACATCATTTTTTCTGTAGCGCTTCAAATGCCATCAAAACAAGCCCGGATAGTCCATTTCTCCATGATGAGTGGACGTTCAAACGAAGCGCACCATCGTCCTCAAGTGTCACTTTTCTTATGTCCAAAAAAACTAACGCTGAGACAAACTGCTCCTCGACACCTGCCTCCCTGACAGTGCAGTCTGCGGAGTGGATTCAAAAATTCACCAAGACCCCTCACATCCACAGCCTGGACGCGCACAGCCCTCTCACCAGACGCAACACATGTGGGGAAACTATAAGCTGATTTCTCTCACGCTCGGTGGACCGAGGGAGAGTGGTTGTTAATAAGCAAGAGCTTAAGACCGGCGGGGGAAAATGAGCGAGGGTGGATGACAGCGCGCAGAGCGGTGGCTTAGCCCGCAGAGTTGGCCATTTGGATATTTTACCAGCTTTTACCCGACAGTCTGGTGGAGCTGTTTGGATTCGATCTGGCGACGGTTTGGATTCCCCAGCAAACTGAGCATGTGTCACATTTGTATGTGTGTCTGATTTTGGACTGCTGTTCATCTGAGTATATCCTGAGGAAGAGGAAAAGCATCATTGCGCAGGGATGCCTTCTTCTATGACCCACTTTACGCTCTCGGTCTCTCCCTCTCTCCGTGTGTGCATCCCTCGGTATTCATAGCCTCACACATTTTCATAAGAGAAGAAAGTTATATAATATTCTATAGGGTTTTTTTCTTATAAATTATGTTTTGTCCTAATTGAGTCACTCCCTTAATGAAAGTTTGGTTAGGCCGACGCTCGCAGATTACGCATGATCATTGGTCCACATTAAAGTCATTTAATTTGCTGGAGACAATTATGGAGTGGCCAAGCACGCACGTACGCACACATGCACACACACACAAACACATTAACTCATGCACACGCAGTTGTGTTCAAACACTGGGAGGCAGAGGTTACCAAATCGATTAGTGCTGTCTGGAGAAGCAAAAATACATGTCTGAACACCAGTATGTGTGTGTGTGTGTGTGTGTGTGTGTGTGTGTGTGTGTGTGTGTGTGTGTGTGTGTGTGNTGTGTGTGTGTGTGTGTGAGTGTGTGTGTGTGTGCCCGAGGCCTTCCAGTGAATGCTCACTTTAATTTAAGTGCAAATCTCTCTTCATCCACACCTGCCTGATCACAGACACAGACCCTTGGCCAAATAACAACCATCAGCCACTCGGTCATTCACAAAAGACTGGAAACAACTGGAGGAAAAAAGAGGAGAGAAACTAGAAACAACAGGAGGAAAAAAAATCCTGGAAACAACAGGAGGAAAGGAGAGAGGCAGAGTGGAGCAAAGCCATGTGGAAAATAATCAAATTGAGGGGGCTTGTGTTTTCAAAATGGTTCTGACTGACAAGAAAGGACAAACTGTCGAAGAGGTGAAGGAACGGACAGGCAGAGATCAGAAAATCAGAAACAGATCAATTTGTTCTTCTTCCCTTTATCCTTTTGAAAAAAAAACTTCCGACAGCTCGAGCATAACAACAGTAGGATCTAGATTAGTATCAGAATATGTTATCTCATTAGAAATGGATGAGAGGGGGTAGATCTGTGAGCTCACTTTAATGGAACTTCATGAAAATGTATTTTCATGAGATAATAAATTGGCTTTTCATTTGAAAGTGGTGATCTCAGAGATTTTTAGTAATAAATGTCTGTTCAGTTGCAATTAATTGCCAAATGAGGTAATTGGTGATTGAGCTTATGACCTAGTAATGAAAGTATTGCAATATTTATATATTGTAGTGTTATAAACTTTAAATGTAGCAGGAGATCATATCTTACTCACTGTTTCACTTGCATGTTCATTCTCTCAACAGTTTCTTACAGTCTTCCTTTTGGCTCCTTCACTATGCAAGAAATCAATAAACCAATATCAAGTCTATACAACAGAGCTCATAAGATTCATAACAAACTTCCCTCCTGCAGTGACCACTGCAGCTATCCAAATAATTTAGCCTTCAATTTCTTCTTCAGATCCCAAACAATAACACACACCCAGCACTAATGCTTTACAGCAAAAACATAACAAAGAATGCATCACTACCCCAACAGCATTTCCACTTCTTCCAGTCCCATCTTAATTACATAATGTGGTCAGAGATACGTTTTTTTCAAACACAATAATCTGCAATGAGATCCCCCATCACATTAGAGCAACAACTTCTGCTACACAACATTCACGATTTAATCCAATGATTTACAGGAGCCTGTATTTGCTGTAACATCTTTCTCTTCTCTGTCAAATGTATTTTGATTTGTTGTTTTGTTGTGTGTCTGTTTCTATATTTTACTTTCTTTTGTGATGAGATTTAGTTCCCATGTACTGCAGTAACTGAACCAAGACTGTGTATGTCGTTATCACCGAAAATCTGCAGTAAAACCGTTTTGAACTGAGTCAGACCCACAGCCGTTTTTTTTGTCTTTGCTCTGTTGTCTTTTTCTGCTAAAGATAAAACATTCTGGAAAAACTGCTGCAATAAGTTGCTGTAAATATAAATTGGAAATTTCTTCCTCCGGTAGCTTAACATTAAAAACATTCAAGTGGCTAAACAAGAGTTGACTTTTATTATGAAATTATCATAAGAAACACAATGTGTTCGTCAGGGAGCTTTGCACTTAATGCTATCATTCATGCATGCTTTATACTTTCCTAGATCAAGGAGGTTATGTTTTCATCAGAGGTTGTTTGTTTGTTATCTAATAGAACTACACAAAAACTATTAGACGGAATATCACGAAACTTGGTGGAAGGATGAGGTATGGGTCACTGAGAAAATGTTGTACGAATCAGGGATAACATTTAACGTTCATGGATTAACATGAAAATAATCTGGTTTAGCAGCAGTTTAGCACCTTATTGAATTTAAGGGGACTGTAGGTGTGGTTATGTGCTCTACTGAGTGCTATTCTAGTTGGCCTTTCTTTTTGGACAGTGGATCATTTTTTAAATGCTCCATTATGGACAGGAAAGAGCAGCCACAGTGAGCTGTGAGATACAAAGCTGCAGGCGACAGGCTCCACACCTCCAACTTCTCAGTGAGGTAACCAACTACTTTCACTTTTCTTTGCTGTGAAGCAACTAATTTGCAGACTCATGCAGCATAAAATCAGATCTGAATAATGGGAAAGGGCCCTTTATTGTCTGACTCAACTGAAATCTTCACAATCACCACTTAAATTATATTAATTGACCATGGACTGTGGAAGAAAAGAACATTTTAGCTTGAAAATGCATTTAGAAAGGGTGGAAATGGGTGAAATCCCTGGAATGGAACAATATCCATATTTCTAAGAATGACAGAAGGGGAAACAGACACACTTTTGTGTTTACTCTCTGCATCAATCGGGTCAATCCATCATTCACAGAAGAGGGCTGAATCAGTCAAGCTGCTGCAGGGGTGGGATGTGGGATCGGGCTGTAGTTAGTGAGGTTGTTGCTTTAAGTGGTCTGTGTGCTGTAGGTGTGACAGGCACAGAGGCAGATAGCTCCATCAATGATTTGTCAGTGTGCAGCCTCACCACCTCCAAACCCATAAACCAAGATCCATATGATGCTGGAACAAACTATCTGAATTCAGCTTTAAGGAGGATGAAAAGGTAAAATGCGGAATTTGCTTCATTTTATCAAATAGTGAATTTGATACAACTCACAGGCATAAACAGGTATAAAGATGCATTATGTGCCAGGGTACATACATTTATGTAAACTCACAAGCAGAAGAACACACACTCCGATGTTTCCATGGTGGAAAGACAGAAAAAGAAAAGAGGTGTTTGTCTTTTTTATCTTGTACATTTTTGGCTCCACTGTATTGTGTATGAATAGCAATACATGTCGTGTTATGCAGCCTGCCAATAATTGATGTCACAACACTGTAGCTTGGTCGTGCTGTTTGCCATCAGGAACCCGAGTGGAGATGAGGCTCCCTCTACTGTTCATTTCTATGACATACAGTTATCTGTATGCGACCATGCAGCATTATCTTCTGTCCTATATACAGTATCATTTGTGTGTGTGTGTGTGTGTGAGACTCTTACCCTGGAAGATGCTGTTGTCTGTGAGGAAGTGCCGGCGGTATTGAGGCTCTCCTTTTCTGTTTACCACCCAGGAGCTCATGGTGAAAGGTGGATGGCAAATAGCTGGACCCAAGAAAGAGGAGAGAATTATATAGAGAGAATTAATATATATATATATATATATATATGTCCGTCATTTAGTTAAACTTGGAAATAAGAACTGTTACTAATGGAAAACAATTTCTCACCATTGACTTTAATTTCAAAATGTTTGGAGACAATATTTCAGGACTGATTAACAATTACACTTAGAGATTTTTTGTACACATTTTGCTAGATGAGTAATGCAAGACATATTTTAAGAGTTACTTAAAAAAGTTAAAGTCAAGGGGAATTTTAAATTACAAACTTCCATGATTGTGACTTTAGTCTCCCAGATATTCATTTACATGTATTTGTATATTTTGGACCTGTAATACAAGATCAAAATTCTGCCTCTAACTGAATTAAATGAATGAAAGTGACCATTAGTCTCTACCATGGAAACCCTCTCTGATCCTTCTCTTTCCTGTCTGGTCCCATCTATCCAGCCACTGGTCTTTGTCAACCTATTTGTCCTCTTTCAATTTCTTCAGCTTTTCCTCTACAACATGTGTTTCCCATTTATCTTCTCTGATTCTCCTCACCATTATACCCGGATTCCCAATTTTCCACCACTTCCTCCTGATCACTTTTCATTCCTGCCTCCCTGACAGCCAGTTTCCCCGTCTAGTGTTTCCCCACCTGTTGCTTGTCGGTCTCTGTGTGATTTACTTCTCCCAACTACAAACACTCTCTCTCTCTCCATGTCTCACACACACAGACACACACACACACACACACACACACTCACACACACACACACACACACATGCAGAGGAGATGTATAGATCTGGACAGGCTCGGAGCCTCTGGGACAGTTATTGGTGTCTGGTGCCGGCTAATGTGAGGAGAGGTGACTGTCTGCTGGAACCCGTCGAGCTCATGGGTCAAGTACCTTTGAGGTGTGAGCACTTCGTTGTGACCCCAGCACCACCTCACTATATAACACAGGAGCCTGTGATGTGTGTGGTGCCTATGACAGCCCATGATCTGTTAACATGTCACCCGTCTCATGACGAATCAGGGTTCATGATACAGAAGGAATTTATCTCAGATTCAGATAACATAAGAAATATTCTTTTTTTTTACCACCTACAAAGTACTTCACAATTTTGTCTTTTGAGGGCCATGGAGGTGCCATGCAAGACGATTTGTGTCAGTTCAGCGTCTTGCCCAAAGACACTTTAACATGTAGACACGAGGAGCCTGGGATCAAACGTCCAACCTAAAGAATGTTGGACATCCGGCTCTACCATCCGAGCCGCAGCCCTCTAGGAGACTGACCTCATGTAAAAAAAAAAAAGACCTCACAGGTCGTTTGTGCTGCACCTTATTACGACCCATAGTTACGTTTTATTGCTGGGTGAACTCTAGCAGCCATAGTAATTATTACCTGGAGCAAAGGAGGAAGTCAGGTATGATCGGCAAGGTTCATGTGAAGTGGAGGATGAACAGGCCAAAAAACCACACAGGAGTATCCGTGACTGTTCAACAATCTCCAGAATAAATGGTTTTTTATTTTTATTGTTACGACCATGACAAAAAATATCCCGTAATATATGGGAATTAGTCTACACTACAATCTTGTTCCTAAACTTAACCAAGTTTGTGCCTAAACCTGCTCAAATCATTAACTGCCTGTTCATTATTGTAAGCATGAGGAAGAAGGTCCAGTGTATTTGTCATAATTGGGGAACTAGTTCAGGAGATGATTATTTTGGTCCTATAAGAGGGTGGGGATGTTCAGGATGGAGAACTAAGTTGGTGAATGAAGTTAAGTTTCCCAAAAAATAAAGCATTTATAAAAAACATCCTGCAAAGCGTTGAAAACTAAGTTTGGCTGTAAGGATGGATATTTCAGCTCAGGCTCTGAGTTCAATCTGATGCTTCGGTTGAGAGCAAAACACAATTTACCGTATATCATAATTTCTGCTTTAGAGTCAAACATTTGTGGTGTGGAAGGGTTTGAACCTCTAAAACCATACATAAGGCTTTTCTTCACAGTCATTAAACTCAGCTTCACCTCCGGCCCTCGAGGCCTCGGAGCTGCTCTGAACTCACTGTAGAGCACAGTCCCTTGTGGCTTATACAGTTTAATTATAGAATGATGTTTCTAAATTACTGTTTGATTTCATAACAGAGTCCAAATTAGAGATAGGAGCCGAGCAGAGGTGGATGACTGGGGGCATTGTTAGTGCAGCTTTGGAACATCAGGTTGTGATACAGCTAAATTACAGGAATCTGCCATAAACACTGAAGTCAAATGACAAAAAGATCCCAGAATGTGACGGTCAGCAGAGGCAGGCAGAAAAATAACACAATCTTAGGGTTGGTGAATCTGAATTTACTTTTTTGTTTGTAATAAGTAGTTTTATGGCACTGTCAAAAAAATAACTTCAGATTTTTATAAAGAAACAACCCCTTGAAAATTGTTGTTGTGCAACTATTTGCACACTAGTGTTTTATTGATCAATTATAGCCAAAAACTATTACCCCCATGTTATCAAATTGAGTTGTGTCTGTCAGTACATTGGTGATTTGTTTTTGTGTGTCTGCCATGTTCATGTTGTGCAGGTTAGTAGTGCTACTCTGACTCCGACTGCGTGTAACACTAGTAGCCTTCTCTCTGCAGGAGTGGCCAAACCTCCAGGGAATAAAGTCTGTGTCTTCCTGTCAGGCGGCTGGAAGAGAGCGCAGCTTAAAAACAAATTTTGTCTCACCGCCAAACTGCCTGATGAGCCACACTGTCTCAGGGCGACAAGAAGTAGGCCGAGGATGCCCCAAAGTTGTGGTAGATATTCAAATCACGCTCAAGTGAAACAATATGAAAAATGTAATCGCAGCGATTTAGTGTTTCCACTTTCCCTCTCTGTCCTGCATCTTGAAATGTGTCGTACACGCAGATTTCATCTGCTATAGCTAAGAATATCATTATATAGATCCAAGATGTCTGTGCAGTGCAGGCATATGTTTTAGAAGAAATAATGACTTCAGAAAGCTTTGCAGGACTATTTTCCGGGACTATACATTCCAGTATAATATGCCTACAATTTAAAGAAGGCACTTTTATATTACATATTATTATATTATATATTATTATAAAATGAAGAACACTTTATTATATGTATGAATCTTATCTTAACCTCCTTGCAAACTTTCCTATCCTTGAACAATAGTTTAAGTGCTGTCACTTTCGATTTTACTAACAGGCTTTACCTCTTGTTTACAACCTGTGTGATAAGATCTGTATCTTGTCGGAGTTTAAAGGATTCAGTTCAGCTACAGATAAGTCACATTTTGCTCTAGTTAACGGATTTCTGTTGTTTTTTTATAATTATAGGAGATTGTGCTAGTTTATTGAGTGATAAAAACGAATGATATGTATGTGCTTGTTCAGGGTTGTGTGTCATTGTGGAGTATTTACTTGTAAGCTAATAGCAATACAACACAATTAACAACTCTGGTTTAAGTGTTTAAGATTATAATGTGTTAGTAATTGTGTTTACAATGCAGGTATGCAAGCTCCATTAAAAGTCTGTAGTATTATAGCCATGTACATTGTTGCTGATGCCCCACAGTCTAACTAAACAAACATCCAAGACAAACTTTTTAAGCAGGCGTCATTACTGATAAAGACGATGGACAAACCTACGACCATAAGACACAATTGATAATAAACTGTTAAACTATAATAAAATGACCATGTATCGTGCCATTAAAAGCATCTCTGACAAAGGCCTGCTCAGGACATGCAGACAATCAGAGCAGCATCTGTCACTCCATACTGACACATGCCAGAGAGCACTCTTCTTGGACATGAATAATGAGACACACAATGGCTGCTCTATTTTATTTGATGTGACCAGATGGGTGATTATCAGCCATGGAAATAATAAAGACATCTGAATAATGTGTCTCACTGGTTTCAGGTCGATCACAGTATAGTTACCATGACTGTAGTGATTTTTATGACATGTTGAATAAGACTTCAAGACTTTATTGTCTGAATATATATAGATATTTCATGTCTGTGTTAGTGTGTATGTATATCGCTGTGTGTGTACCACAGACTGTATATAAAGAAGGACAACATCAGCTTGTCAATAGTGATGCCAAAGCCTCTCAATCACCACCTGGTGGCTAAATGAAGCATCAGTCATAAATTCCTCCTCCTCCATGTTAATAGATGGGACATGGGTCCAACTAAAAGTCAAAGTACATGTTAAATACATTTTTCTCAAAGATTTTCTGTCAGTTTCCGTCATTTCCAGTAGTTCTTATCACAATTATGTTTATCTGGTTAGTTTGGTTTGAAGTTGTTAAAGACCAGTTGTGTGTGTACCGGCGAAACCTGGCAACCACTGACTCCATCCACTGTGCAAACTTCAAATGCGCAAGACGGCATGACTGGGATATTTTGGCTTCATTTCCATATAGTGGGAGGAAGTGGAGTAGTGTTGTGCACTTTTCTATACAGTCTGTGGTGTATGCTTGTAACCACGATACCTTCCTTAAATCTGTAATTGCACTTGGATAGAACTGCTTCACAAAATGTGGAGCAGGCTCATACACAACACATTGTATGTTACTCTCTTCACTGGAATCAATTGGGAAGGCTTGGGATTCTAATGGCACTCAGCCTGTAAAGCCCCTCGCTGTTCTAGAGAGTCAATGAGTAGCTTGTAATTGCCTGTTAAGCAGTTATCAGAGCAGAGAGTAAACAGTCTTGGTATGCTGATGGCTAGACAGATGGTTTCACGGTATAGAACAAGTGCTCCCTAACTCACCCATAAACAAAAGTGTGGACTGTAAAAGCAACATCCATTTTCTATACCACTTATCTTTCTGAGGGTCGCAAGGGGAGCTGGAGCTAATCCCAGCCGACATTTGGCAAAAGGACAATTTCGAGTTTCCCAACCCAACAGTCTTGGGACTACGGGAGAAAGCCGGAGAACACAAACATATAATAAATGTATCTAGATATTTTATTATTGATCCGAATTTCTGCTTGATTGGTTGTTTTGTCTACATAGAATCTGAAAATAAAAAAATGCAGAGCACCATTTCCCAGATCCCAAATTAAAGTCCAAAGTGTTTGTTTTGTCTGACGGTGCGTTCAAATCCCAAAGGAATTAAATTAATTATTATATAAAAGATGGAGCCAGACAATTAATTCAAAATTTCCCTTTTATTTGATTAATTTCATTACATTAATTGATTTTCTAATGATCAGCTCATGGATGGTCTGATCGTCATTTCACCCAAGGTAAAACATTCAAACAGTTCTGTTTGAGTGAGCTTTTGACCTGATAAGGAGACAGAGTGGAGCTTGAGGCAGTGAGGTTAGTGAAGGGTCAACGTTGGGTTACACAGGCGCAGGATGGACAGTGACATTATCTGAGCATGTTGACAGATAATTTATGGGGTTGTAGAAAAAAAGGGGTCAGAGTCAATATGTAAGGCTGTGATATACTGATATAATGATGTTTGAAAGTGAAACACAGTCTTACTGAGCAGAATAATAAAAGTACTTTAGTGTTGCACACTGTAAACAATGGTCAGACCTTTGTACATTTTTCTGTCTCTGACTCCAGCGTGTGAAATATATGCCATGTTCTTTTTTTTACACTTCATGGGCTAAATCTTAATTTAACTTTTGTCCATGCACGTGTGTGAGGTAAAACGTGTGTGGAAGAGTCGTCTCGCTTTACCATGGAATTGAGGGATGGGTATAAAGTCATAAGTCAAACCCTCAGATCTATTTCAAGCAGAGACTCCCCCTGACTCTCCCTCCTGTTCCTATCCTTTACTTTTACTCTCTAAAGTTTTTAGACTCAACTCCCTGCATGTTCTTATCAGTGTCCTCGTGGACAAGAGGTAGCTGTTCGTTCTCTGCAGGAGTGAGAGAAGTTGCGTAAAAAGTTATGAACACTTGACCAAGACACTGAAATACGTTTCCTATCCTTTGGGAAACCGTACATTTTAGCGACAGCTTGTTCATTCATCGAATATTGTGCAAGAAAGAAAGCCATTCTCTGCTTTTATATTTCAGTCTTGTTCCTTCATATATGCTTTCACAGTTTGGTTCATTCAATCCCAAACTGTTCCTCCTCTGTCCTCCCTTTCTTTCCAACAAGCAACTTCAATTATTCATGAGAGATCACAGCACCCACAAAGAGTCGTGTTTCCACTCTGACAAACCTACACCAGCAAGCTGATACACTGCTCACAATACTCCAAGTCACATAATAACAAGGGAGTCACTTTACAGCTGATGCATTCCTTCGCACACACACACACACACACACACACACACACACACACACACAGCATCTACAGTGCATGTGGGTGTGTGATGGAACAGCCCCCCCAGTGACTCTTTATTGTGACAGCAGATAAAACAAATGGCTGAGAAACACAAGTAAACTGCAGATTTAAAAGTGGATGCATTTGCACGTGAGGGCCAAGGTGCCTGTTTCAATTTCAGACAAACTGACAAAGATGCTCCATATGTTTGGTGTCGACAACACACACTGAGGTTTATCACATGGCAGCAGGCATGGATTACTTTGGGATGCATCTCAGTGAGTGTACACACCAGCTTTCTGTCTCTTTAAATCTCTTTGTCTTTCACACCCCGGCCTACTACACACAACCCACTCAAATCAAATCAAAAAAAATCCCCCAAGGACCCTCTGCTCTGTGATGGGGGAGTGCCCCCAGCTCTTTCTCTCTGGGATGGCAACCGGCTGAGTGTAATAAAGGCCTTTGTTATGCTGCCCTGCTGCAGATCTCTACTGTTGAAAAAAACACCGGGGTAAAGGAGTGAGCTTCACGCAGAATGAAATTATTTAGTTTTTATTTCAATCACACTAACGTATAATCAACTCTGGAAGCAAATGAGACCCCCCCCCCAAAAAGTGCTTGACAAGAACAAATGAGTGATCACATCAGCTCAGGGGTATTGTGGAATAAATAAAACCATGGGAATTGATGCATGAAGTGGTGCAATCAAGATAAGAAGTGACACATCCTGTGTGGTTGTATTCCTGAGCCTGGGTGTCCAGGCACACAGGTTTAACAAGGGCACACATGCATGGATACTGTACACAGTGACCTACCAACAGTGCATTTAAAGTGACAGCTGACTGTGTGCAGACAAGTCAACAAAAGTACTTCACTAGATGTATTAAAAACTTTAAAGCTACTGTCTATCATTCAAATATCTGATGATGAACTCACTTACTTCTGTGCCTTCAGTCTCAGATAGTGAAACCACGTTGTCAGCCTCCTCACAGGATCTTCCCACTCTGACCACAACAGTTTTCCTTCACACTCTGAAACTCCATGATACAGAGTGCAGATGAGTAAAAGTAGAAGTAGAGTAAAGTGTAAAATAGTCCCAGTGGTTTGGTGTCAGGGAGCAAAGGGACCAACAACTTCAATGGTGTGGGCAAGTACAAGTAGCCACCACCACTACAAGCACAGAGGCTTTTCAAATGACTGCTGCTGGTGTGGGGCCAAAGAGTCTGACAAAGCCTGGAGTGGATCCCGGAGTGGAATGTTGGGAGACATGCTCATTCCATTCAAATTCAGAATTACAATAGAAATAAGATTAATTAAAATAAATCAAAACTGAAGATTTTTCTTATTGTAAGTCGCTTTGGATAAAAACGTCAGCTAAATGAAATATAATCCAATGAATAACTTTAAAGCTGAAAATTGTTATTACCACCTTTTGGACAATGTAACATCCTATTTCTCTTCCATTAGATTGGATGAAATGTTATTTATATTATATTTGTCATTAAAATATAGGCCAAATATTAGGCCATCATTTTGCCTATAGTTGCCACGATGATGAATAATCCTAAATCCTCACTTGAATTTCAAAGAAATATTGATTATTTAAACATAGCACTAATACGATTCCTCCTTAATTCACTGCACAGCTACTTCAAGATTAAATCTGGACAAATAAACCCGGATGCTTGGATTTTAATTGAACCACTCTATTTTATTTAGGTTTGGTGATTTATGGATGGATTTATGTTATTTTTGTTTTTCCTATTTCTATAGATTCAATAGATTAACACGCACCTCACACGATATATGCACCAAACCTTCAAAATCAAAGCCTCTTTTAGTTATTGTCTCTATCTCAATGAGGTTATGTTTACACCTCTGTCAGTTTGTTATTAAGCAAGATTAAAAGAAACAATTGGACAGATTACCATGACACTTGGTGAAAGGAAGCAGCAGAGAGTACTGATGCAGATCCAGGTCACTTTCACTTTCACTTTTTTCACTCAGCGTTTTTCAGCTTTTTTGGAAACAAATGTGTGTGCAAGTTGGTGCAGCTCAGAATAAAAATCTGGATCTATTGAATTTAAATGTGGTTTCATATGGGGACTGTTGGGTCTTGGCAGAGGTACAGCATGAGCTCTCTTAGCCATTCTCTCAGATTAGATCAAGATTCGCTGTCCATAAAGAATCAAACCAGACTCCTATCAATTAAATACAGAGTAATGTAAATTATACATATGGCAACTAACTATTTTGAGATGGATGTCCTGAATTTAAAGTTAATGATTGATTACCAGTTGCAAATTACCTGCACAAATATTAAACAACTAGTTTATAAAAAAGATGTAGTTACACTAGCTCATTTAGAATCCACTAAATCTTCTGATCCACCTCACTGACCAGTGTAATTTCCCTGTGACCACTGGTTTAAGAAGCTTCCCCCTGCCTCCCCCCTGTTGTCTGTCTCAGCCGTGGTTTCCCTCCCACTCCTCCCTCACTGACAGTTCAAAGTCTGGCTGCAACAGCCATCAGAGCTGAAATGCACCTTACAATTTAAACCGGTCCACCAATCACAAGCCCGCTTAGGCAGTAACAGTCACTGGTGACATTTGCACAACAAAAGGGAGACTAGCTGATTCATCAACCCCCCCACCCTCCTTTCCTTCACCCCCTTTCCCCTCCACTGTGACTCCTCCTCTACTGCTTTTGTGCTCAGGCCCAAAATCCCCCTCTACCCCTTGTGACCCTCCTCCTCTCTGCACTAATCTCCTTGTGCCCATTGGATTGACTGCCTCGGTGCTACCTCTCCCTGCTCCTAGAGACCCCCATCGACCCTGCACCCCACAGGACACACATCACAGTCTGGCCTCCTTTGCAGGACCTCCTCCTTTGCCTTGTTTGGATGAAGCAGGAATACAAAGCCCACAGTGCATGTGAAAAAAGCACAAGGTGTAATTTGGGCATTGAACAAAAAATACAATCACATGACATTAATCCCAGAGTCACAGGAAATTTGCTTTTTCTTCACCAGGTGTTGACAAAGACATCTTTATTTATCTCACTGTCTCACAATTATATCACACAGTGCTTCAAAATGTAAGGCGTCTTACAGGTTTGGTCACATTCCCAGTGCTTAAATACTGGTCACATTACACACACAAGGACCCTCTTCATTGGCACTTAAAGACCCCACCACACACACTGCATGTAAGGCTCCCGTGGGGTTTGAGTCGGCCAATATAGAGTTCAGCCCCTTTGTATTTCACATTGGGTGTTTCTATAGCAACAGTGATTTCAGAGACGGACAAGTGGACACCCCCACCCTCTCTCCATTTTGAACAATTAACATACCCCGCCCCCATCTTGTGTTTAGTGGGGTCTCCCACAGACACACACACACACAGGGGGCTGTGCTTAGTTGTGGGTTAATAGGGTGAAGTGAAAGCTGAGGGATTAGCCTCAGGATGTGAGACAGGGTTTCAAAAATATGTAATTAAATAAAATTATAACAGACACAGTCAAAATAAATCAGCTTTTCATGTAGTGTAAAATGATATCAGGCAAATTATATATTTCTCATTGCCTGAAAAGTGCCCACATGACAGCCAAGTAACTTTTTCTACCCAAACAAAGCTGTCTGACTCCCTTTTTACACTTTATGTACAGAACAGGAACTCCGTTATATATAAATAGACATCACATTTTGATGACGTCAGAACTTAAAGACAACCGCCTCTTTTTGCATTCTGCCTTGGATCAATCAGTTAAGTCTTTTTGAAGATCCTTCTCATCAGTCTGAGTAAAGAACTGTCCCCGATGGCCTTGGACGCTCTCTCCCATAGGCTGTCCTCCTTCCACAGACCCCGCCCCTTCCTCTCGGCCTTGACCTCTGCCCTGTGCAGGCGTTTGTGGAGACGCCAGTGGAGGCGAGAGTCAGGCTGGACTGCGATGGGCCCCCTGCGGGCGAGGCCGAGCTTCAGGACCTCTTCGTTCACACAGTAGTTCCATAGCGACCCCTGCTGGACAACAGGAGATATTCAGAAGAAAAACTCTCGTCACTTATGACTCTCGAGCTGCTCATTCTTTGTCTGAGTTTCTGGAGGCCTCACCCTGCTTTGAGACACAAAACAGTGCAGTATGTCGTCCTCACGGCTGATCAGTTTTAGCCAGACTGTTTTGGCAGGGGACAGGTTTTTCTGCAGCCAATCCCTCCCCTCTGGTGTCAGCTCCACACCGGCAAGACGCACCAGCAATGGAGACGTAGACGCACCTGGAGAGGACACAAAACAGCCAGAGACCATATGTGTTACAAATAACAGTGGTTAAACTGTAAGTGACCTGTGGAGTTTCATCTTCCCAAAGTGGTCTTATACACTCCCTGTGTGACAATAATAAAAATTGCATTTTCTTTTTATTATTATTTCAACGAGGAAATTGTATTGTTTAATAGTCAAGTTTGATCTCTCGTGTCTCTCAGATGATGTTTTGTTGTTTCTTTATGGAACTACAGTATAGCCACTTTCAGAACTGAACTGAGCATGTTCCTGAAATTATCCAGAGGCACTGTATGAGAAAACACATATTATTTAAGAGACTTTACAATGGGGGTGCTATAAACAAAAATGTATATGCGGAATCTTAATGTCATGTCCTGCCTCCTATGTGCACTTTAAAGATGCCACAGAATGCTGACATGTTCCTGTTGTTGTGAACACATCTGGCCTGGACAATCTCCTGCTATGTTCCTCAAGGTAGAAGTTGCTCTTGTAAAAGTGATGATGTATCTCAATAGTTCCTGGTTGAATAGAATAGAAAACAAAACATGCAGCTGTACAAGAACTAGAATCTAAATTAATTAAATGTTTGACCAAATTCTGATTTAAATAAGGTATTATGTGATTAAGGAATACTGTGAACATAGCAACGTTTATAAATCTGAGCAGAAATAAAATTCCAGCTTTCAGTCCATGACAGTATTTAATACATCATATAGATGTACACTGAATATTTGTTTATTTAGAATTTAGGTACAAAAGTTAAACCCCACTGTAATCATGATTGATTGAGATTAGAAGTAAATCACAGCAAATGCTGACCAACTATGATGATAACAGATGTTGTAGGTCAAGTGGGACAAAGGTAATATTTGAAATTGCTAGGTGACACTGGTCTGTTGTGAGTCCTTCACACTGAAGTTGCTGATGGAGCACTCAGTATGAAGCATAAGCCCCCTGATGTTATTGCTAAGTGACTACTATGATTCAATATGACAGCTAACAGGATTACCTGCACTCTTGCTCATGACAAGATGATAAAATGCATCTGAGCCTGACTTTTCAAAGTAAAGAAAAATGTCACGATGACATTTTTCCTGTAACTAGATAAAAAGGTTAAGTTATTACACTATGGAACTGATGAGAGAAGCTGGAGGTGAGATTTGAGCTTGGGACTACTAGCGAGTTATTCTAGTGGAGGACAGAATCCAGTAAATAGACAGCACTGCTTTTGAACTTTATCTGTCTAACATGCCCCTCTTTACCCTTGTGTTTTGAAAGTAGTGATGAGAGGACTGGCAGATGAATCGGGACATGCTCCACTTCAAGTCCTTTCTCTGTGACGGAGTGAACTTTCCCACGAAGGCTGACGTTCTTCTCGATGAAACGAGCCGGGATCTCAGACACAGCTTGAAATTTGGTGATCTGAGGAGATAGAACCGGTTGGAAACGTTTCATGACTCTTGAGCTTCATGCATGAAAATTAAATCTATCTGCAAAAAGGAGTATTAGTGTCTAAATTTAGCTGGAAATAAAGCAGGTAAGCTATTATTTCTGCCGCTAGGGAGGTTAATTTTTGTCTGTTTGTCTGTCTATAGTTAATTGGGTTATGCAATGACCACTGGACATATTTCCACAAAACTTGTAAATGCAGACTGGGTCAGAGAAGAAGCCTCAAATTTTGTTACGGATCCGGATCAGGAGTTGGAGCCAGGATTTCTTTTTTCAGTGTTTCCCCTGTTTTAAAAACATATATTTTCCAGGACCTATCTAGGGCATTTTCCAGGAGTCTTTCCTGACAAGTCAGGACAGCAATTCTTGTGCAGGACTCGACTGCACCCCAAGACAGCTCTGGTAGTCTACATTAGAATTAAGAGGGCTGAATTTAAATTTGGGCAACTGGCTAACTGACTTTATAGATTATTTAATCAAGTATGTCTAAATTTGTGGTGTTTTAGTTTAGTTTATTAAATAAAGAAATGTCATTGAAGTTTACATAGGCAATCTAACTATGGGGCTAAAATAAAATAAAACATTTCCAGGACTATAAAGATTATTTCCAGGATATTTTGTCATTTTAATCAAATTCCAGATTGTCTCCATGAAATTTTCCAGTTTTCCAGGATTCGTGGAAACCCTGTTTTTCACTTTCTTTAAAATTATGTTTTTCAACATATAGATTGATTTCATAGATAATTATTCAGGGATGTTGATTATAAAAATCAGACTTGTTTAGGGGACTGATATTTACGATTGGGAGCAATTTAATGTTGATCTATATAAAAATCTGGATCTAGTGAATTTAATTGTGGTTTCATAAGGTGACTGGTGGGCCTTGGCTGATAGCCATTCTAATTTTTATTATGAAATAGGCAACATGAAAAGTGTGTACCTAACCTCTCTTACCAGTCTGATGCTCCTTGCTATTACCAGAACACCAGCAATCGCCAGCCCAGTGCTTATGTTCTGTGTTAAGAGACAAGAGAGCAGTGAAGGGCAGTGAGCCGACTGGATGACAGTGATGTCATTGACTTAGCTGAACATGTGCTGGACACTGACAGTGAGAAAGACACAGGGTATAAACCCACAGGGGTCCAGATGTGATTGCTGACAGCATATCAAATCAACAAGGTGGGTTATTGATGATCAAAAGCTCCATGAGCCCAGACTTAGGACATTTTTTCCAAACAAATCTGAAACTGAATAATTGGATGCAGATGCAGGTGTCCCCAGATTCTGCATCTTCATAAAGTGACTATATTTGCACATCCATTCTCATGCACCACGAGTCAGCTGCAGTTCAATGGAGTCTCAGGCACACAGACACAGGGCTATAAACCCACTGGGGTCAACTGGGGGTGCCTGAGAGAATATCAGTAAGGAAGATTATAGGTGATAAAAAGCTCCATTAACCTACATATGTTACTTCTTTCTACAAATTCATACATCAGATGTAGCTGAAGGTGGCTGCAGGTTCTGTATACCCATGTGAGTATATTTGCGCATCCATACTCATGCATTAACAGTCAGCTGCAGTTCAATGGAGGCTCCTCCACATGTGCTGGACGCTGACAGTGAGAAAGACACAGGGGATAAACACACCGGGGTCAACTGGTGATGTCTGACAGGATATCAAATCAATGAGGTGGGTTACTGGTGAACTATAGCTCCATTAACCCTCAATTAATCTACAACTGTTACTTTAGATGTGTCTGCAGGTTCTGTGTGTCCACGATGTGAGTATATTTGCACATCCATGCTCACGCATCACCAGTCAGCTGCAGGTCAGTGGAGGCTCCTACCCGCACAAGTGTCAAATGATCATCTGCGAGCTGTGATATGACAGACACGACGTTGTGAGACGCCTGGTCTCCTCGCTGTCTCTGTTGTCTGTCCCTCGCAGCAGCCTCGGTCTCTGTCTCTCTGGAAGTCGCCGGCATGTTGTTGACATTTTCTCTCGACGCATCCGGCCGTGGCTCCGCCTCCTCGGCGGTAGGATCGCTTGCTTGTGTGGAGTCTCCGCCCTGTGGTCTGCTGTGGACATGACAGGACTCATTACATTGTGATGATGATAAATAAATATACGATATAAAACACATCCAAAAATTACACTGATGGGCGCTTTGCGATATGGATGCAAAAGTTGTTGACTTCCATGAATCGCACTTTGAACACGTGGAGGATCAAAGTTGCTCGTGCACGTTGCAGCTGGGAGTCACATTAGACTAATAAACACCTCTGGGAACAGTGACGTACACATCTTTGTCTGCACAACTTGACCTAGATAACTTCAGATCCGCAGCATAATTCAATGCGCAGAACAAAAGGGGCGCAATCAAACAATAGAAGTGCCCTTTAAATGGAGCCCACATTTCTAATGTTTCCATGGAATGTGCAGTAGGACGCGTTTTGATGAAATAACCCCGCTTGTGTGTGTGTGTCTCCTCGCTTCTCTGCAGCGGGCCACACGCAGCAGATGTTGCCCGGTGCAACATGTCCAGTAACAGACATGTCTGAGCGCTGACTTGTGTGACAGATGCGCCGCAGCTTTCATCTTGTAAACTGTGAAGTCATGGAGCTACTTGAGGCTGGATGACGCCCCCATTACCGCAAATTGGCCAATGGGAGGTGAGAGGCAGAGTTGTCCTCCCGGCCGCCATTAAAGAATTCAATCCATGAACTGAAATAATGGAAATCTGCAGGAGCCATGGATCAGGCGGAGGGGAGTAGCCGATGAGTAACCTCGCCAACTTGGCTTTTCGTCCGGTTTTTTAAAAGAGCAGTTTCACTATGACGGAGCGTTACGGTGGTTTTGGTGAAAAGGAGGGCGGCGTAGCTAATTGTTTTATGTAGCTAACAGGCTAGCGCTGGAGCTCTGGTATGTTAGCTTGCGCGCTAGCAGGCTAGGAGAGATCAGGGGGAGGGGAGAGTTCCTTTGCTTTGAAATTGTTTCAGATCAGCTAGCTGCCATTAGCATTAGCTCACCAGGGACTAAGCTTTTTTGGGGGGTGAAGTTTTTCAGTTTTTTTAATAAGTTTTTTCAGCTCATATTTTTTTTATTGAGCATAGAACTTCTGTGGTGTTTGAATCAACGTTGGTGAATCCAGGTCATGGAAGCTGCGTGATGTGAGGGCAACGTAGCAGCAAAGCTTGCGGCTAACCAGACCAGACAATACATTTCAAATAGGTTGATGAATCCAGTGGCTTATCGCTTACAGTTGACGCTGCCGGGCTGCCCGTCTAACGTTAGCTTAGCCTCCGGGCTAGCGGCGGCTAGCGCCGGGCAGAAGTTGTCTGTTTGACTAGCGATAGCTCGGCGTAGCTAGCAAGTTGCTCAGCGCTTCAGCGGAACAACTGAGCGTCGCCTCGCCAGCGAGTTGACGAGATCGGCAGTCGCCCCCTCGATGGTGATTGAGACAATGGACTTTAACGTTGCAGCCCCGCAGTGAAAGGATGAGTTCGTGCTTTGTACCAAACGGGGCCAGTTTGGAGGACTGCCACTCCAACCTCTTCTGCCTGGTGAGACCCCTCTGCTCCCTGCAGCTAGCTAGCGTTAGCTCCGACACCGAGAGGCCAGAAAGCCATTTTGGCTAATCAGGCAACAAGCTTTGTAACGTCAGTTGCAGATTGGCGTGAAGGCATCGGGCCTGCGACTTGCACGATAGCGATCCAGCTAACTTTCATAACAAGAGACGCACACTGCAGGGTTTTCTTACTGAAGAGCTGCACACGAATATGTCACGATCATGTGCTTACAGTGCATTGATTACACACGATAGCCAACTAGCATGAGCGTTACTTACATAGTGGTAACAGGTCAGGCCAACAGGCACATTTCTATACAGCCTGTGCACATCTCATCTTTCCTTTCTAGGAAATGCCTCTACATTTTTAATTAATGCACATATCAGGAATTAAGTGCCTCTTTTTTAATTACACCCACTGATGTGATACTAGACTGACTTGCAGTGACTCATTAGTTGTCAGTAACTACTGAGTAAATTTCTGGCTGACAGTGATGTGTTCAGGCAGGATTGTGGTGTCACATGTAAAAAGTATTGCAAAAGTTTACAGGAGTCATCAAGCCCCAGATTTAAGCTTTATTCACTGGAAGTGATTTTCTGCAAAACAGGAAAAGTTGTATGTGTGTAAGGGAAGGAACCCGTTCACTGAGTTATGCAGTCAACAACAGATGATTGGCTTAATGCTGTACCACTATGTTGTGTGCTCCTTCTCACATTGTTGTTCTCCCTCTCATCAGGCTGATTTGACCGGAATAAAATGGAGGCGTTTTGTGTGGCAAGGGCCCACCTCTTCGCCCATCCTTTTCCCTGTGACCGAGGAGGACCCGATCCTGTGTAGTTTCAGCCGATGCTTGGCTGCAGATGTGCTGAGTGTGTGGAGAAGACACCACACCCCGGGTCGCCGAGAGCTCTGGCTTTTCTGGTGGGGGGATGACCCCAGTTTCGCAGAGCTTATCCACAATGAGCTCTCAAGTGAGTGGTTTTAACTTCTCCACGTTCTTTCCGCTATTAGAATTAATTCAAAAATATATTTCACACATGGGGAGAAATGGCAACAATATTTGTATGCCAACGGTAAGCGATAATTTCTTGCATAATCCAAGGCTGTGTCCCAATTCCTCTCCCTTCGCCCTACCCCTAAAAATGAAGTCCCCTTTGCTGGGTAGTGTCCCTCTCCAAACGGAGCTAGAAAACCTTCCCTCTTGTTTTTCAAACCTCATATGTACGGGACATGGGAGAACGTGTTACTCTCACTCAGTCTGTTTACATGCTTGTTTTGACAGTGTGAATAGCAATTTTCCTGAAAAGCTTATCACAGCTATTCAGTTTCACTTTCATTTGCTATTGGATTAAATAAGATATTCCAGTAGATTTTCAATTGTTTTCATGGTTATTTTGATAGATTTCATACTATGAATATTTTACCCCTTAGTTTCTAGGGTGCCCTGAATACACTATGGTTGAAGGGGTGTTCGAAGGGCTAAATGGCCACTAACCCAACATGATGTGGAGAAACTGGACACTGCCCCTTCATGGACACGTGCAAAACGAAAGGGTAGATTCAAGTGTTAGGGCTGAGGCTTGGATGGGAACAGGGCCTAAGTAGTTAGTTTGGTGCTTCGGAATTGGCACTCTTATTCTGAATATTAAGAAACACATATTCAAGGGTGTAGTGGTTATTAACAAAGCCTTTCTATAACTGGTGTGTTGTAATGCAAAATTGGTCCATTTGTTAAAAACTTGATAGGTGTTTTTGATGACACTGCCAACCCCTTCTAAGCTGCGTTAAAGATCTGTAATGCAACTTAAATGATATAAAGTATGATAATAATAAGTTATGTTTGCCAGACTGGCTCTTGGCCACACAGACAGATACAGGTGTGTACAGTAGCATTAAAACAAGCTGTTGTGCGTCAGAGTCACATGACACAGTCTTGATTTTTTTTTTTTTTTAGATGAAGGCTTCATTCCAGTTTGCTAATATTCATGTCTGTGAGACTAATCCCCCTGGTATTCTGTCCCCGGTCTCAGCCTCCATCCACACTGATATGTTTCAGTTCTAAGAAAATATCACAGTCGCTAGATTTACACCTGGCATTCCCACTTAGTGTGGAGACTTTTGGAAATAACATGGAGACCTTTCAAGTTTTAAACATCCAGACTCGTGATTTAAACTAGACTGAGAGACATTGATACAGTTACTTGCATTTGCTTCCTGATTATCGGTCACAATGTATCCTTCCCTTATTAGTCATGCTCCAGTCATGTGACCTTTTTGCAAAATGACACAAACTTTGACAACCGGTGATGAATGTAATATGGATAAGCATTTTAGCAATGCTGACTGGACAGAGATCATTCTCGTACATTTATTCATTTTGAATTATGGCTCTAGAGAAAACATTGTTGACCAATCTTAACCAATAGAACCAATGTAGAACCTTTCAATAAACAAAATGTCTATCACTTAAATATGTAATTCTACACCAAAAGAGCTGAAGTCTGGTATTTTGGATGCTTTTATCCCAATTCTAACCAATAAGACAAATCAAATTGAATGTTTTTTTCTTTTTTTCAACTGTTCCAATGGGCTTCTGTTATTGTGGTTGAAAAAAAAGCAGAGTCAAATTTTCCCTATCAAGCACAACACTGTATAAATTTAATATGAAATGAAAAACAGAGGTTTAATGGTATCTGTTGGTTTCAGGTGAGGAGGATGGCGAGTGGGAGAGTGGCCTGTCCTACGAGTGTCGAACGCTGCTGTTCAAAGCCATCCACAACCTGCTGGAGCGCTGTCTCATGAACAGAGGCTTTGTTCGCATTGGGAAGTGGTTCGTTAAGCCGTACCAGAAGGAAGAGAAGACCATTAATAAAAGGTACGTCGCTGCCCCCTAATAGCAGACAGCAAAGTTAAATGACATGACGTAAATTCTCAAACCCCCACACTTAACGAATGGTCAGGTCACATGTTTTGTCTGAGGTATGTTCTGTTCACATCTGTTAGATTTACCTGTACCAGGTAGAGAGCTGTTGTGGTGCTGCACGGGAATATTTTTTTCACTCTGCTGCTCTTTAATCTTTGAAATGCTGTTAGTGAATCTTAAGACTTCGTGCAGATATGTTTTTACAGGAAAAGGAAACAACTATGCTGCTTAGATGGACTGATGGTTTTCATATGAACATGCTGGCATGTTGCTGTGAAATAAGAGAATATATTCAGGAGCCAGGAATGACTTGATCAGCTAAATTAGTGACAGCAGTGTTGTCAACTTGGGCAGCAAGACTGAAGGTCCTTCCCAGCACACATGCACTGTGTGAGTTCTTTTTCCCATTTAAGTGGTCTCATACTTTGGTACCTCCATTATTCTTCAAGGCAGTTTCTTTTTGTGGTGCAAGAAAAGCAGCCCAGTTGCAGAAGATAAATAAAGCTGTAAAACAAGATGTCTTGAAATGTACTTGCTGTGCTGAAGGGCTGAGTATTAGCCCGCATTTGATATTGGAGTGTTGGTTAACATTTGTAGCATGTGGAGGTTGTGCTGTTACAGTTGTTGCTATGTTTAAAGAGTTAGATTTACTGTCACATTGGCTGGGAGCAGTGTTTGAAACATGCATGCAGCGCTTCAGACAGAACCATCAAACGGACCTTGATGGAGACATGTTAAGGTCAGATGATATGTGTTGTATGTGTGCTGCAGTGGGTGAAGTCTCATTGGGCAGATGTTCTTATTGTGTTGAAAGTTGTGCTTTAAAGTTCCCATAATAGCTTGTTGCACTTAAATGATTCAAATTCCCATTTGGGACTTAACTGGAGAAATGGAGCTTGCAGCTGTATTGTTTTTAACTACACTGTAATACCCTGACAGCAGTTTCTGGGAAGGAAACATCATCTGCTTATAAGAATATGCTGTGAATAAATACTCGTCTTTCCTTAAGCAGTGTAAACACGACGCTACATAGTTGACTCTGATACAGCATCTGCTGCTCTGATTTATAAATAAAAGTTTTATGCATGGTAGCTACACTGAGGTCAGTTAGAACTAGATCCATGTTGCTTTAGGACACCAAGATCCTGTGGTGCTCAGAGAATTTGGATTCCTGGAATGATCAGATTTCTAATCACATTATACGAATGACATATTTTTCACCTCGCGTATGAAATGTGTGTAAATCTGCCAGCATGTTGTAAATGTCTGTTTAATCTTGTCTAAGGTAATAGAGCAACAGGCTGAGGGTGAAGTTTTAATGTCTGCACCTCTGTGCTGTTGTTCCCGTAGAAGTGCATGTTTCAGTTCAACCTTAAACAGCACACAAAGTTCTGTTTGGTTCAGAGTGGACTTCTGCACCTCTGCATTCCTTACCTGTTGAACATAAGGCTGGAGGTACAGATATAGCCCCCCCCCCCTTGCTCCTGAATGAAGGGTCTGGGGAATCCTGGAGTTCCCAGACAAGCTAATTTGACTCTGCTTTTTGGCCGTGTTGCTCTGACCTAACTTGTGTTTTTGCCAGAGGTCCTTCTGGCAGCTTTGTCGATAGCTCATGTGAGTTTTAGCAGCTCCATGTATATTAAAGTACTGTTGCATAGAACAGGAGTGTATTTTATTGCTCACTGGGGTTTAGCCTCAGTTTTTAGATAAAACTGTCTGCAAGTGAGTGTTGAGGCAGCACCTCTAACAGAGGAGTCTGGCGGTCTCACTGTCGCCTGCCCTCTCTGGCTGGTAAACAGGGCAGTCTTTGGAAAATGCTGAGTGTGCACTGTGGTTTTACAGCAACCATGTCAACAAGCACTATTTTAGTGCGTTTAGCAGACTGCTCTCCCAGAAGTAGCTAGAAAATAAAGATGGATATTGTTGTAACATTTCATGGTTTAAATATCCCCCAGTTTTATTTTTGCACCGGATTTCTTTGCCTGCGTTTTGTTCTGTTCACCATCCGATAAGTGGTACTGTTTATTTGTATTTATTTTTTTGATGTAATCATGTGGTTATGCTTGTGGACCAATCCCTCCAAATACTACAATCCCTCTTTTTTTCATCTTTGACTATCCTTGCAGCGAGCACCTATCTTGTGCATTCACCTTCTTCGTACATGGCGACAGCAACGTGTGCACGAGTGTGGAGATCGCTCAACATCAGCCTCTTCAGTGGCTGAGCGAGGAGCATCTCAGCCTAGCCCAGCAGAGCTCTAACCCCTTGCAAGGTAGGATCACAAGATTTACAGTTGTTTTACACTAAACTGGTCTGTATCTTGATAAATTATGTTTTGGGTTTATTATCCTGCATAAGTACTCTGACTCCTCTCTGCCCTCCAGTCATCCTGAGCCCATATGGCTTAAATGGGACCCTCACCGGCCAGGCCTTTAAGATGTCAGACCACCCCACGCAGAAGCTCATTGAAGAGTGGAGGCAGTTTTATCCCATCAGCCCCAATCCCAAGGAGGTCCCGGAAGACAAGATGGAGGATACTGATTGGGAGGACGATTCCCTGGCAGCTGTGGAGGTCCTTGTTGGTAAGGCCTCATGATATTTTATTAATGTGGAGAGTGGTGACTGAATGCAGGCAAGACATTTGCGATTAGATTGATTTATTTGTCAAATGTGGAAGGATATTCTTAGTTTTCTTGAGTTTGAGAGGCAGCAGTGAAATTTGTTTTCTCAAGGGGCAATAGCTTGCATAATATCGTCCGCCTTTTATTATGAAGATCGATAGGAGTTGAAAGGTTTATTGAAAGTAGAGTGTAATTGTTTTCCCTTCCTTTGCAAACAATTATTTTGACTAAGTATAAGAGTTGTTTGGAGAGAATTATAGAATAAAGCTTTCAACATTTTTGCTGCTGTACACGTTGTCTAAATAATCAAATAACCATGTTCTATGTAATCCAGTTGCACATGACATAAAATATATTGTTCATACAGTCAAATCTGAGAAAGCCTGAACCAAACCAGGTGGAGATTTGGTTGCACTTTGATGTTAATGATGAATGATTGATTAATTTCTGGTTTTAGAAATTAAAAATGCTTTGTTAAGGTGTGAGTGTTCAAAAAAAGGGAATGCGTTATTTCTGTGCGGAAATAAATAAATATTTTTGGTTCCAGCGGGGGTGAGGATGGTATACCCTTCCTGCCTGGTGCTTCTCCCCCTGTCGGACCTCCCCGCTGTGGTCCCTCAGGGCTCAGCCAACACCTCAGGAAGCCTGTGTGGTGCTCAGCAGGGCCAGGCTGCTCACAGAGATCCTGCCATGTCCTCTGTCACTCTGACTCCTCCAACATCACCAGAGGAGGCTCAGACTGGTAAGAACTGGAGCTGCACGCTGACCAGATTTAAACACCTGAGAGTGTATCTGCATTTTATTTTGTATGAGACCAAATTTTTTGTATTGCCTTGCTTCATAGATTATCAGCCTGCCCAGAGGTGGCTCAAGTTGTCCTCTGCATCCGATGGCTACAGCTCTAACAACACTCTTCATGGGGGTAAAATCCCTCGTAGACTGGCCAGCCAGATGGTGGAGTCTGTGTGGCAGGAATATAGCATAAACCGCACAGGGAACAAGTATGTTTAGTGTCATCTCTTCCTCAAAGTTTGTATTGACAGATAAAGTGTTGCCTCCATGCTTGATTGATAAAATGTCTATCTGCTCTTCTTTATCAGGAGGAAGTTTACTACCTTGACAAATGGGACCTGTGAGGAGGAGTCAGACAAAACTGGACTCTGGGATTTTGTGGAGTCAACTCACAGGCCGCATTGCAATTGCGCTAGGTATGTGGAATGGAATGCATTCACCTGTGAGTTTTGTTTTATAAGTTAAAGAAAATATCTCATGATCATTATTTGTTGTTTTTCACATAGACATAAAAATCAGAAACAGCGATCCAGCAGCACCTCAGGACACCCGCCATCATCGGGCCAGCTCGCCCAGCCGGTGCCCAAGCACAAGCTGGGCGAGAAGCTGGAGAAGGGGGAGAAGCAGCAGAGGAGGCCGCAGACGCCGTTCCACCACCGCAACTCGGTGAGTGAGGAGCAGTCCCTGGAGCCACAGACCCAGAGGCTTTGTCTAAGATCACAGGAGGAGGGCTCATATCCCAGTCTGCACCATGTGGACATGGCGGCCTCCAAAGCCCCTACGCTGCACACACACGGCCCCCCTGCAGACCTTGTTGGATCCCCGCCTCCCCCGCCTCTTAGCCCACATCCGTGCGATCACGGTGAAGGTGACATGACTCCAGGTGGCATAAAGAGCTCTTCCACGCCCATCCACCAACCGTTCTACCCGCCGTCAGTGGAGCTGTGTCGGCTTCCACAGAAGGGCTCATCTGAGGAGCCTCAGCTGGAGACCATGCCTATGCCTCTGCCCTTCCCCCCAGCATTCAACGAAACCTTAGAACCAACTGTCTTTATAGGTTCAGCCATAAACCCCAACGAAGACTCTACCCACAACCCTTGGAAGTATTTCAACCTGCCCAGGAAGAAGGCCTCCAACTTCCTGACACCCCAGCTACCTGTGGATAAAATACGAGATGATTCTGGGGGAGGTGGAGGAACAGAAAATGTAGTTTCTGTAACTGAGTAAGTATTTGATCACTCATCCTCACCTGCATTAAAACTATTGAAGCAGTTAATGTAATCAGCACAATTTCTCTCCACGCAGGTTGATGTCAGGCTCCACGCAGATGCTGAAGGTTTCCCAAGAGCTGGTCAAGACTTATGCCCAGCGAAGAAACAGCCACCTTGCTCCCACCACAGGAGATGAAGAGCACGGTGAGGAGCCAGACCCATACGCCTTCGTGGAGGGAGATGAAGAGTTCAACTTCACCGAGAAAAAGGACAAGGCTGGAGCTGAGAGAGAGGGCAACAAGAAACACAAGGTGTGTTCCCGGTTTGAATACTAGGTTGAGATCATTATCTTCACTTTCCTCTCATAAGCAGGGTGAATGATCACCGTGTGTGTGATTGCAGGAAAACAGAAGTTATCATATTTACATCACAGAAAACTCTACCTCAAAACTTGGATGGCACTCTGACAATATGTTGACATCAGCAACAATTTAACTCAAGCATCAGGTTGTTACCTTAACTCTTCATCAGGCTGATGTTAATTTATAAATTTGCGAATTTAAGATTAATTAATAAAACTTTCACAGAAAGTTGCCTGATAGAAAAATTGAAGACATAACATACATTGATATACCTTTAGGCTCAAACATACTTTTGATTCTTTGGTTTAATCAGTCGTAAATATTTCGTTTTTTTATGTAGTCCAGCAAAATCTTTGAAAAACTATGGTGGTAGAGAAAAGTTTAATATGAAATGATTTACCATGCAGTACAAAAACAACAGTCTTGTATGCAAGTACAAATGGTGGCAGTTTCCTCGATGCATCTACTCTGTGAAATAATGGTGTCCCTACATTTCAATCATTTTGTGATAATTTCCCTTTTATGACACAGGCTGATGAAGGAGCTGGAACTTCAGGAGATGGTGAGAATTTGTTCCTTCTGTCTGTCTGTCACATACCTGTTGACTTTGACATGTGATTAAATAAAACATTTGGAGTTCGCCATGGTTTTCAAGGTCTCATTTGTTTTTCATTGCAGATGGTCAGGGTCAATCAGGCAGCAAACCCTTAGCCTCGACCAGCCTCATCCATGAGAATGACTTGGCCGTGTCCTTCAGCGACCTGGATAAGATCTTCAATTCAGATGAAGACGAGCTGACGGTAAGGGCACCTGTGTCTCCAAAAGCTGTGCCCACATTTTTAGTGTTCTGATTTTGTTAGGAACTGCTGCTGATGTGCTCCTGGAAATGTGATTGAAACACTGAAATGGAAAACCGAGGGTACTTATATACTATACTTTTCTCCCTGTCTGCACAGCCTGGATCCAAAAGAGCTGGAGCTGGAGCAGAGGACAAGTTTGGCTGTAAAGAAAGTAAACCTGCCATGTTGGACCCCCTGTCTTGCATAAGTATGAATACTAAGAATCAGTTAATTAGTTGTACGTGGTAATTTTATACACATGTTGTTTCAGGAGAAGTAACAATGTCTTATTTCCCTAGGCTCAGCGGACCTGCACAAGATGTTTCCGACCCCACCCTCCCTGGAGCAGCAGGGTTACTCCCCCATGAACTCCGGGAGCAAGGATAGTCTGGAAGCAGGGGCGGGCCTCACCCTGTTGGACGGCAGCCAGCTCAACACTCACTTCAAGATGGAGGTGGAGGAGGGATTCTGCAGCCCAAAGCCATCTGAAATAAAGGTAGGACGCATCACACACACCTGCGTGAGGAGCAAGTGGGGAATTTTGTCAATCAACTGTGTTTTCACTGTTTAACATTATTAAAATGTGTCTAAGACTAAGACTCGTCTGTGCTTTCAGGACTTTTCCTTTGTTTATAAGTCGGAAACGTGTCAGTCGGTCATCGGCTGTTCCATGTACGCCCCTCTGAAGACCCTACCCAGCCAGTGTCTGTTGCCCATCAAACTGCCAGAAGACTGTGTTTACACTCGCAGCTGGACAATGGGCAAAATGGAACTCATACCCCCAGTGACAAATGTCAATCTCCTCACCAAAGACAGGTAAAGCTCTAAAACATTCGTAATGCTAAATAAGTTCAATGACAAAACAAAGAATAAAATAATGAACGGAATCTGAAATCATTGTTTATCTCTGTCACAGTAACGTGCCCAGTGTGGAGCCAGACTACAGTCAGACATACACCCCTCAGACCCACACACCGTTCATGTCCAGCAGTGCTCCTCCCAGTAACAGCGGCGCAGGCATCCTGCCCTCTCCAGCCACACCTCGCTTCTCTGTGCCCACCCCTCGCACGCCACGGACTCCACGGACTCCCCGCGGCCCATCCAGCGTCCAGGGCTCTCTCAAGTATGACAACTCTGACCTTTACTCCCCGGCCTCGACACCCTCCACCTGTCGACCGCTCAGCTCAGTTGAGCCTGCCACTGTACCATCCATCCCCGAGGCCCACAGCCTCTATGTCACCCTCATCCTCTCCGAGTCGGTCATGAACCTCTACAAGGACTGCAACTTCGACAGTTGCTGCGTCTGCGTCTGCAACATGAACATCCGGGGGGCAGATGTGGGAGTGTACCTCAAGGACAACGGTGAGGCCCAGTACCCCTGCACTTGTGGCTTCAGTGCAGTCACCAATCGGCGCTTTGGACAGTCAGCTGGGCTCTTCCTGGAGGATGAACTGGACGTTGTGGGACGGGGCTCAGATGCGAGTCGCGACACAGAGCGGAGCTTCGAAGAGCTTCGCGCTTGCACCACGCACAAGGCCGGCAGTCTGAAGGAGAAGCCTCCAGATGAGCTAATTCTGCTGCTTCAGGACCAGTGCACCAACCCATTCGCCCCAATGGCCGGCGTGGAGTACCCCAAGCCGACTTCAGCACCCAGTTCATTCCTGAGGGTTGAAGAGAGAGACTGTTATAACGACTGCTACATGGCACTGGAGCATGGCAGGCAGTTCATGGACAATATGTCAGGAGGAAAAGTGGATGAAGCACTGGTGAAAAGCACCTGTCTTCATCAGTGGCCAAAATGCAAATGTACAACCTCTTACTAAATTTAACTACTGCACCATAGTTTTCCATCATTTATTCCATTCAACTTCAAACAACATCAGTTTCAGACTTCTCTCTTTTTGTGTTTGCTTTCATAGCCACGGATATGAGTAAGCTCTTCTCTCAGGACGTCCTGCGGGTGTTACTATCCCTCCAGCCTGTGCTGCAGGACACCATCCAGAAGAAAAGAAGCGTTCGCTCCTGGGGTGTTCAGGGACCGCTCACCTGGCAACAGTTCCACAAAATGGCCGGGAGGGGATCATATGGTGAGTGGAAAGCGTTTGTACAAAAGTGTTTAGGGTTTTTTGAGCTGTTTGTCTCTTACAACAAAATGATCAATGAGGAACCTTGTCCTCTTTTCCCCCACAGGCACAGATGAGTCTCCTGAGCCTCTGCCCATCCCGACCTTTTTGGTCGGTTATGAGTATGACTTTGTTGTGCTGTCTCCGTTCGGATTGCCTTACTGGGAGAAGCTCCTCCTCGATCCTTTTGGCTCCCAGAGAGATGTGGGATATGTTGTCATCTGCCCAGAGAATGAGGCTCTGCTCCGCGGGGCCAAGTCCTTCTTTAAAGATCTGAGTACTATGTATGAGGTACGCAGCTGGCAGTTCCTAAAACTCATCACTCTTGCACTGACATGTCCACAGAAACAGTTCCTCACTCTAAAGAAATACCTCACTCCGTTTTATTTACACATTCATTCCATTTTTTCTCGACAGGCATGCCAGCTTGGGCAACACAGGCCCATCTGTAAGAGTCACCCAGAGGGCGTTTTGAAGGTCGGCACCACAGAGGGCAGGAGCATGACAGAGCAGCCTCTCAGTGATTGGTTCCTGAAGATGGCTACCAGAGATGCAAACAACGAAGCCTTCAATAAGCTCAAACGCTTTGCTCAAGTGTGCCGCTATGATCTAGGTAACTTGTTTGTTTAGAACCATAAAAAAATTAAGTAATGCCTTATAGTTTGTGAGAGCAACAATTGATTATTTTTACCTTCCTGACCACTTTCAGCTCCGTACCTGTCAGAGCAGTCTTTGGATAGTTCTCTATTGTCCCAGCGCTGCCCCACCGTGGTCTCCTCCCCCCAGACCCCCAGCTCTTCTTCCAGCACCTCCTCAGGACCCCAGAGCACCAACACTACCAGCTCCAGCACCAGCTCTGCCCAGCCTGCCCAGGTCAACAGCACCCCTTCCTCCTCCTCCTCAGGCTCCCAGACCATCGGGGGAATGGCGTCGGCCAAGCCAAGCTCCTACTCGCCGTTTGGGACCGCAGGCTTGCAGGGCAGCACGTCTCAGAACGGACCCCAGTCCAACCAACAGGGTGCAGGGGGGCTGGCGGAAAACGGACCCTCAGCCAATCAGTCTCAAGCATCCACTGAGATCCCAGAGAGGTAGGTCTATATCTGGGTTTATATCTGCTGATGGGATGGTGATCAGTTTTTAAGTGTTAAATTTGAAAGTGTTGGCAGAACAGTAGTTTGTAATCAATTGCTGACTTGATTTAAACGTGGTTATTGATTCATGGCATTACTGAATTCATGCCTCTCAGCAGCCCACACACACACATTCATGTGGTTATACGTGTTTGGTTATTTATTTACTAACCATATATGTTAATGTTTTTAAAAGTATATAGTTAATAGTTCAAGATATATACATATTTCTGACATTATTGTGAGCATTACACAAACAGGGTACATACGTCTAAAGTGAATCCCACATCCCATTAGTAAAGAAAGCGTACTTCGGATTCAAGTAAAAGCGACCAGGGGTGCAGCTAAAAATCATTTTAAATATGGATTCATTTAATTGTCCGACATTGTCTATAAAACGTCAACTAGCTGAAATTGTTAAAAATGTGTCAACCTCAATGATTCATTTTCTGCCAATCTATTATCAATTCACCTCTTCAGCTCTGGAGGTATCACATTGTCTTAACACATTTTATCATAAAAACAATTTCTCAGCTCCACCTGTTGCAACTTTGAAGTTTTATTGTCCTGTTAGGAGATTCCTCATCATTAAAGCTGCCACTGTAGCCATGACAACTGGCTTAGTTTGCATATGGTCATTACAATGATGTGAACATTTTCGACAGCTTGACTGAAGATAATTTTTCTTCACAGCACAATGGAGAGAGACAAAGTGGGCAAGCCCACAGATGGAGAGTCCCACGCTGTGTCTTACCCGCCCGCCATTGTGGTGTACATCGTCGACCCCTTTAGTTACGAGGACGCAGACAGAGAGGTCCACTCCAGCACCTACACACTGGGCCTGCTGCGTTGTTACATGGAGATGCTCCAGTTCCTGCCTGCTCAGATCAGAAACGCTGTCTCTGTACAGGTACGGCTCAAAGAGGTTTAAGGATTCTCGTTTCCAACAGCTAGTTTGTCTAATATTTGGGGAAGGGATGAAAGAAATGGTCTGTGTCAGTATCGTGAGATGAACGAGTGAAGCTCACACATTGATTCTGCTGCTGAGCGGTGATGGATGTCATCTGTAGTTTAAGCCAGTCACCTCTCTTTAGCGACAATAGAGCAGTTTACCAGGAGGCCCAGAGGGAGGTGAGAGGGAGCAGGGGACTCATTAACAGACACTTATGGAGGTGGTAACTGCTACACCTGTGATATAGTGACACAATATTGCATAAACATGCCAGAGGGAGTTTTGAAACACAAGGAGTGTGAATGTGCTAATGGATTCAGTGGTTGAGTCCTCAGTGCAGCCAGGGCAATTAATGAGAATAGCATA